ATGTGCGTCCTAGCGTTACATTTCCCTTGGGCTTTAATCTTGTGTGTGATTATGCATTGATGCTAATGTGTCTTCGACTGTAAACTCACTGAGAGTAATGACTTATCACCCCAGCAACCAGATTCTAAATAAAGCCTCTGTTCTTGATGACTAAGGACAAGAAGGGAAGAGGACATGAGCCTAGAGAAAGCTTCTGATGAGCCCAATCTGGGGGCCGAGTGGTGGAGTGCAGATGAGAGCAATATCTGGTCTCCCTGAGGTGCCCAGTTGTTAGGTTCCCATGCCACAATCTAGGCCCAAGCCCAGCCACGAATGGGACACCCTTGGCACCTCCCAGGACTCTGGACACTCATCCATTCTGGTACTGGCTCCACACTGGCACAGACCTGCAGGAGGGGAGCAAGAGAGACCTCATCCACCGGAAAAAGCTGAAGTTGGAGGCTGATCCTGCAGGGAAGACATACACATAACCATTTTTGAAGGTTCTACATACGCATCTAGAAGCTCAGTTTTAATAGGGTGAATGCACACCCCAGTACACACACACGCACAGAATTAACACAAATGTTTTCCTTTTTCAGTCTAACCAAACAATATTCATTGTAATCCTCCAATGACAGCAGCCTACTAAGGACTTTTACTCATGTGAATCTTTCAAAAATTTATTTCTAAACTCCAAAATCACTCCCAAAAAACTGGATAAAGTGCTATAAGGAAAAATGCAGAAGACTTGCTAACTTTAGTTCTAGCAATTAAAAAACTTTGATAATTTTTTAAGACTCATACTGGCAAGTGTTGAATACACGCTATGAAATTTTCTACTAGACCATACAGTCATTGAGAATAGGGAACATGTCTTTTTCATCCTTATAATCATCACAGTACCTCATGGGATGTGGAACTTAAGAATTTTTTAACAGGTGTTAAGTGAATCAAATAGTTCCACATGTAGAAACGTTAGAGCTGAAGTTTGAAGTGACACTGTTATTGATTCTAGCCAAATAATCCTGACATCAAACACACTGATTAGAATAGGGTTCATCAATTGATAAAAATCCATCCCTCCTTTGGTGTAGGTTTAAAAAAATTCACATAGTAAATTACATATAACTTTAGAGAAACAAATCAAATGTGATTTTAGAAAATGCTTTTCTAAATTATACATACATATGATTGCAAATTGATTGATTAGATAATGTTCAATATACGATCAGGAAAATAGCATTATTTTAAGAGGCTTATGTTAGAATCTCCACAAATATCAACAGTATGCAGCTGATAACATGTTTCCTCAATATAATTTAGGCCCTTATGGCTAAAGGGATGATAAATTTTAGATCTGCATTTGCAATTGCAAAGAGAAGATTTCTAATATATTTTGAGATAGTCAGAAGGAAGAAAATAAACATAAACATTTTATTAACTCACCCTACTTGAGTGTGATAATTTAGATTCTAAATTATTTGAATTTTACATGGACATTGGCCTCAAATTTGATTTCATGTTTTCCTATGAATAGATTTCTAGGAAATATTGAAATTTCTTAAGATTAAACTACTTTTTAAGAAATACAGAAGCAATCACTGAAGTAATCACTGTTAATTAAAATACATTCTATCCATGAAGTCAGCTAACATAAGGACCTCTTCTTAACATTACTGTTTTTCTAAATCAGTATTTTTAATACACACGACTTAAAATGTTTGAAGTGCATTTCTTTCAAAGTGTTTGAAGTGCATCAGACTATTCTAATTCTAAAGAACCTTTTTTTTTTTTTTTTTGAGTCAGAGTCTCACTCTGTTGCCCAGCTGTAGTGCACTGGCTTGATCTCTGCTCACTGCAACCTCTGACTACCGTGTTCAAGCAATTCTCCTGCCTCAGCCTCCTGAGTAGCTGGGATTACAGGCGCCTGCCACCATGCCTGGCTAATTTTTGTATTTTTAGTGGAGATGGGGTTTCACCATATTGGTCAGGTTGGTCTTGAACTCCTGACCTCGCGATCTGCCCACCTCGGTCTCCCAAAGTTCTGGGATTACAGGCATGAGCCACCATGCCCAGCAAACCCTTTTTTTGTTGTTGTTTGTTTGTTTGCCTAGATAGTTATGGGCCATTTGATTTAGTTAGTAGTTTTAACTTTAATAATAAGTTGCTTTATTTTAAATTGGGGCATCATAGAATTTTGCTGAAAAGGGCTCTCTAATGTATTTTTAAAGAGCTTTATTATTAAGGAATAATTGACATGCAATAAACTGTGTATTGACTATATTTTCTTCTTTTCTATATTCTGGATGCTCGGGCATTTTGGATCTTGATCCTGGAGGGTCTAGCTAATTCCTAGATACTGAATAGCAAACAATTCTCCAGTGGGTGGGCTTTTGATATACAAACCAACCAATCCAGGACCCTCCCTTTAATGTAGTTCTTTATCAAACTCTCCCACACCAAGCCAATATTACCCCTGCCCTAAATCACACCAGGACGAGACAACTATAGTTCATCCCTATAGCCCAGAGTCTGCTACTATTACTCAAATTATTCAATCCTAACCTTACACAGTGTACCTACCCTGCCTTGCTCATTCCTTTTCACAGAAACCCAAAAAAGGCTCTAGGCCATGATCTCCCCTCTTCCTCTTCTGCCCCATGACTGACCCTGGTCCATCCCCACCTGGCCTTGCATGTCATGCCAAACCTCCTGTTTCTAATGATCTTCCTCCTTCATGACAGTCATTTCCAGGTCTGTGTGTTTTACCACATCTGATTAAAACAAATCCTGGGTACATCTGCAGAACAAACTGCATGTAAAGACAGTCCATGGCTTGCAATTATTCTTTATGATTGGTTTATCAGGACATAATCCCATCATTAAGTCAAGGAGTATATTTAAAGTATACAATTTGGTCTGTGTGTGTATATGTGTGTATGTGTATATATACATGTGTATATATACATGTGTATATACACATACATACATCTAACCATGTATACACTGTGAAACCATCACATAAGCAAGATAATGAACATGTCTAGCACTTCCAAAAGTTTCCTCAAGCTACTTCATAAGATCTCTCTCCCATATATCCTTACTCCACTCCCATTCAAAAGTATCCACTGATCTGCTGTCACTATAAATTAAACCCAGTCTCACAAGTGTTTTTTGAAGCTCAGAAGTCCTTAATTTTGATAAAGTCCAATTTATAAATGTTTTTATGCTTTTGTTGTATTTAAGAAATCTTTGCTAACTAACAGTAGCAAAGGTTTTTCTCTTACATTTCCTTCTAGAAATTTTATAGGCTTAGGTTTCACATTTAGTTCTAATATCCATTTTGAGTTATATTTTTATATGGTATGATATATGGGTGGAAGCCTGCTTTCTGCATATGGCTTTCCAGTTGTTTCAGTGCCATTTGTTGCAAGACTATTCTTTCCTCCCACTGAATTAACTTTGAATCTTTTTCAAAAATCAGTTGACCATATATGTGTGGGTCAGTTTCCGAATCCTCTACCCTGTCCATTGATTCACTTGTCTAGCTTTTCCACACCATACTGTCTTGATGACTTTAGCTTTTAAAATCAGTCTTGAAATCAGAAAGTGCAAGTCTTACAACGTTATTCTTCTTTTACAAAATTGGTTGGGCTATCAGGTCCTTTGCATTCCCATATAAATATTCTAGAATCTGATTGACAATTTCTATAAAAAGGCAGCTGAGATTTCGACTGGGATTATGTTAAATCTATATAAAAATTTGGAGATACTTGAAATTTTAAGAATATTAAGTCTTCCAATTCATGAACATAGTATATCTCTTCATTTATTTCCTTAATTTAATCTTTAGTTTTTTTTTTCAGAAATGCTTTGTAGTTTTCCTTTTCTCCTCTGTAAATATGGTGAATTACATTGATTAACTTCAAATGCTAAATGAACCTTGCATTCCTGGAATAAACCCACTTGATCATACTGTATTATTCTTTTTACATATTATTGCATTCAATTTGTTAAAATTTTGTTAAGAATTTTTGCATCTATATTCATGAGATATGTCAGTCTATAGTTTTCCAAAGAGTTTTTATAGAATTAGTATTTTTTCTTCCTTAAAGGTTTGGTTGAATTTATTAGTAAAGCCGTCTGGGCATAGACTTTTCTCTCTGGTAAGGTTTTTAATGACCAGTTTAATTTCTTTAAGAGATGACCTGAATAGCCCCATATCTATTTCTTCTTGAGTGAGCTTTGATAGTTTGTATCTTTCAAGGAATTTGTCCAATTCATCTAAGTTGTCAATTTATCAAGAGAAAGCTGTTCATATTATTCGTTTATTTCACTTTTAATATCGTAAGATTTCTAATGATGTCATCTCACTCATTCCTGGTATTGGTAATTTGTGCTGCTTCTTTTATTCTGATCAGTCTGGCTAGAGGTTTATCAATTTTACTGATCTTCTCACATAATCAGGTTTTTGCTTCATTTGCCTTCTCTATTTTTTTTCTGTTTTACATTTTATTAATTTCTATTCTGATTTATTATTTCCTCTTCTCTTCTTACTTCAGGTTTAATTTGCTCTTCTTTTTCTAGTTTCTTAAGTTGGATGTTAGGATCATTAATTTGCAAATGCTCTTCTTTTCTAATGTAAGCATTTGATGCCATAAATTTCCCTTAGCTACATCCCACAATTTTGCTGTTCCATTTTCACTTTTATTCAGTTCAAGATAAAAGTGTAATTTCACTCTGCTTTCTTCTTTGAATCATGGATTATTTATTTTCTGTATTTTAATTAGGGTTATGTAATATTCTTTAGTTTCTAAATATTTGGGGATTTTCTTTTCTTTTTTTAAATTTTTTATTTAGGAGGAAGAGTCTTGTTATTTTGCCCAGGCTGGCCTCAAACTCCTGGTCTCAAGTAATTCTCCTGCCTTAGCCTCCCAAATAGCTGGTGTGTGCCAACTGTGCCTGGCTTATTGAAGGTTTTTCTGATATCTTTCTGTTATTTATTTCTAATTACTCCCCCCTTTGGTCAGAGAGCATACTCTGTTTTTGAATGGACTTGAATACTTTTAAATTTATTGAAATGTTTTTTATGTACTAGCATATAGTCTCCCCTGGTAAATGTTTCATGTATAATTGAAAATAACGTATATTCTGCTGTTTGGGGGTAGAATGTTCTCTAACTGTCAATTAAGCCAGGATTGTTGATAGTGTTATTCAAGTCTTCTATAGACTTACTGATTGTATACTTATTGGTTTTATCAATTATTAGGAAAGAGGTATTGAAATCTCTGACTACGACTGTGAACTTATCTATTTCTTCTTGTGGTTCTATCAGGTTTTGGTTTGCGTATTTCAAAGCTATGTTTTTAAGTGCATAAATGTTAAGGTTTGTTATGTCTTCCTGATGTGTTTTTCCCTTCAGCTTTATGAAATGACCCTCTTTATTTCTGTAATATCCCTTTCTCCAAACTCTACTTTGCCTAATGTTAATATAGCTACCCTGGCTTTGTTTTTCATTAGTGTTAGCCTGATATATCTTTTTCCATCCTTTTACTTGTAATATGTTTGTGTCTTTATATTTAAATGAGGATTCTTGTAGGCAGCATATAGTTGGGTCATGCTTTTTCATTCAATCTGACAATCTCTGGCATTCAATTAGGGTGTTTAGACCACCCATATCTAGTGTGATTATTGATATGGTTGGGATTACATATACATAAACCATCTTGTCATTTGTTTTTTGTTTGTCTCATTTGTCCTTTATCATCTTTTTCTTCTTTTTCTGCCTTATTTTGATTACTTTTTATCTCCTTTATTGGCTGGAATATAACTGTTGTGTTATCTTAGGTTGCTTTAGGGTTTATAGTATGCATTTTAAACTTATCACAATCTATCATCAAGTGATGTTATAGTATTTAACAAAGTATAAGAAACTTACAACAGTATGCTTTCATTTCACTCTTGGCTCTTGTACTGTTGTCATCCATTTTACTTCTACATATCTTATAAACCTCATACTAAGTTATTATTTTTATTTGTAATCATTCATATGCTTGTCACAGTTCTCCTCCTAGACTATAAACTATTTGAAAATGGGATTCACATATGAATCAGTGTTGGCATTCAATTGACATTCAAAACTTTTTTTGTTGTTTCCAATGAATGGTAAAGAGAATGAGGGAACCAGTGGCAAAATGGCTCTGCTGCTTACCAAGGTGAAGCCCTGGACTAGCCCGGCCAATGTAGAAATACACGATGGCAGCAACACCCATGTTAACCAGCGTATACACCCACTGTATCACAAACATGATGAGAAGGGACCCGACAGCCTGTGAAAACAGAATAGGAAGAGCAAATCACCTAATGGCTTTCTACATGGTAAGCAAGCCACAAGGCTAATGTCTTCAGCAACATTCCCTCTCACCAACTTCTGATCACTGTAAACGTCTGAATAACTGAAGTTTATGAATAATTCAAAAAACCTCATTTAAGCAGATATTTGGGCAGATACCCTCTGAAAATAACTTTTTAATTAAAACTATCAATTAGATATTTTATCTTACCTCCTTGTCCCATTCTTCCCTATAAGAAACAAATTAGGATGAAAGTATAACTTAGTTGTACCTTAAAATTTAGTAACCCAGAAGTTATCATAGACAATTAATTATTTAAAAAGGAAATTATTGATTAAAATAAGCAGTTCATTGAATGTAATCTTGCCATATGTAGTCTCATCTAAATTCTAATACAACAGGCAATTAAATCACATTGCTTCTAATTAGGCCCTCCATCTTTCCTCCCCCTCAGCCCAAGATCACAAATGTGTCCACCTGAACTCTGTCCCAAGAACAATTGAGATCGAGATGAAGTTACTCACCCCCAACAGGGAGACCCAGGGGTTGCACATGTGGGTATAGAAAGAAGTTGATCTTCTCAAGATATCTTGTTCTTGGAGCCTGGACTTCAAGAAGAAATCTAAAAAATAGCCAAAGATTTGGTTGCCAAATTGCTATCAACCCTCTACTATTTTTTAGGAGAAAATACCTATGAGCTCGTCTTCCCCAATTTTGTAACTTAGCCTGAAAGACAACTCCCAGGGCTTGCTCTTGGAGGAGGAAGAAAGAAGTGTTTACAGCCTCCTCCCACCAGCCAATGATCTGAGAAAGAAAGGAAAGGGAGAGACAGAGTGGAGAGGAAGGTCCTCTGATGCCCAAGGCACATCTGTCCAGATATGTCATCTGGGGGGAGGGAATTGGAAACTCAGCTCTCCCCTCTTTTTTGGATGTAAGGGGTTAGAGTGGGAGAACTAGACATCTGGTATTCTTGGCTCCCAGGTGTGACCACTGGGACTGCTAGGGCAGGTTGGCTTTTGTCTAATGAGAGATGGTCTTTGCTACCTTCTGACTCTGAAGGTTAGCTCATGTTAGACTGGTCTCAGGTATCGACCAGAAAGTGATGAAGCAGAGAGATGGAGGGAGAATTGCTCCTCTGATTCCTTCCTCTGGCAATTGAAATGCCTGAGGGGAAAGGGGCCCAGCAATAAGCAAATGCATAGTCCTGCCTCATCCTTTCAGGCACAGCAGGGCTTCTCAGAGCTATGCCATGTTCTATTTGGCTCTGCATTCTCAGTTTACAGCTGGTTCCAAAAGCACTCAATTTAAAAAATAATAATTTTTTTTAATGTCAGAGTTATGAAGTTTGGGCTTTTAGTGTAAGCCTCACCCAAATAGTGTGCACTGTACCTATTAGGCAATTTCTCATCTCTCAATTCCCCTCTCACCATCCCACCCTCCTACCTTTCCAAGTCTTCAATGTCTATTACTCCACAATCTGTGTCAATGTGTACACATTATTTAGCTCCCGCTTATAAGTGAAAACATGAGGCAGTTGACTTTCTATTTCTGCAGAAGTGCTCAATTTATGAAAATGCATCTAAATTGTTTAACAATATGGTCTAATCACCATGAACACACAATAATGTTTCAAACAAATGATATGTTGGATTAACTTCACAGTATGTTTATACTTCATTTCAACACCAAAACTTCAGGTGTTCTCAACTTCATAGTTTGTTGCTCAGGAAATACAGTAGAAAGCTCCCTACATAGCCCTTCTCTGTTCTCCAATATCAAATTCCTGCTTCAGCCAAACTGTCTTGACTGTGCCATCTCCTCTGCCCGGCCCTTCCTTCTTCACTACAGTCCAGAACCTGTCTCATATACCAGAGTTTTCCCCACCTCAACCACCCCTGATGTGTTGGTTCCTGGAATCTCTCTGGGATCCACAACTCATGAATCCCCTAGCCCCCTGCTTATCTAACTCTTATGCATCCCTCAGGTCTCAGTTCAGTTATCACTTCCTCGGGGAAATCAGCCCCCACAGGAAAATCTAAATATAGTCCCTCATACCATTAATATTTCCTTATGACCCATTTCCTTCACAGCACTTACCATCATTTGTAGTTGTATACGTATTTACATGTTTCCATGCCCACTGGATTATATGCTTCATGGGGGCAGGGTCCACATCCATCTTGAGCCTAGGGCTTGGCATGCAGCAGAACTCACTAAGTATTCCTAGACCAAGTCTCCCATCCTCTCTGGTCACTGTGGTTTTATGACCTAGCCCCTCTGAAGCACATGCCATCAGACTATTTCACACCCTACCCTTTATCATTACAGTCTTTTACCAACTTGTTATTCTTCTCTTGCTTGTTAAATATTTCAGCCCCTGGCTCACCATCTTTTTCTCTATCAGCATCCATTGTCATCCTTGGTGACTTCTACAAAAACAACTCATCCAAGGCCCTGCTTTCTTGATTCCTTGAAATCCTCATGCTAATAACATTTTCTTTCACTCATCCCAACCATCGACTCCCTTAGCTGCACTTGCGGTGTGCCATTACCAGTAACCTTACACTTCCTAAATCATGACTTTAAGCAATCTACTCTCAGCCCATAACCTCCTTTAAAAACAATGTTAAGCTCATTTGCTCTGCTGTTCCTCATTCCAACCATTCATAGTCTACAGAGGGACCTTTAGATGATTTGCCTTACTATGTTTTTGATTTCCATCACCTACCTCCCACTTTCCCTACCTTCTTACCTAGCTTGGGTTCCACCATCTAAAACTATCAGCATTCCCTTACATACACATCTGCTCCCATGCTTCAGCATTACTCAGCAGCCTCATACCTAGGCAACTCATTCTCCTACTCCCTGGTAGAACAAATTTAAAAGCTCTCTTCTCCAAAGAGAACTTTTCATGTTCTCTCATCACCAAATCAGCCAATTCACTTGCATCTATACTCTCTATTCTGCCTTCCTTTCTTTCACAGTGGATGAACAGCCTCTGATCCTAAGGCCTATACCTCCACTTGTGCCGTGATCCCATCCCTTTTCACTTGTTCAAGGACTTTGTTCTCGCATCATCAATTTTTCTATCCCCTACTGAATCATTCCCATCAAATACAAATACACTGTCATCTCTCCCACCTAAACAAACGTCTACAGGTCACCCCTAGTTATTGCCCTATTTCTGTGTCTCCCTTATAGCAAACCTCCTCAAAAGAATTGCCTATGCAGTCTCTATATCCCATTATTTCCCCAACCCACTCTTAAGATTGTATCCACTTTTCCACTAAAACTACTCTTACCAAAGTTGCCAATGATTTGAATCTTTTCAAAATCTGTGGTCAACTCCTAGTCCTCATTCCGTTTGATCTTTCAAGCAGCATCTGATACATGTGATCACTTTCTCCCTATTGAAACACTTTCGCCTCTAAGATGCCTCACTCTCTTGATTTTTCTATGTCACTGCCCACTCTCTCAGTCTTCTTTGCTGACTCGCCTCCTCCTTCCAGCCTGAAAATATTGGAGTATTCCAACATTCTGTCTTCAGCACTCCTTTTTCCCATGTATACCCACTCCTAAGAGATTTCTTCTAGTCCCATGGCTTTAAATGCTACTGATATATTGATGACTCCAAGTTTATATCATCCTTGACCTCTCCCTTGAACTTAAGTTTTGAATAGTTCATTGTCTTCTCAATATCACACATTAGTTGGCTAATAAGCACCTTAAACTTAACATGACTAACACAGAAATCTATTCACCTCAAATCTTCATTTGAATAAATAACACCACCATGTACACAAACATGTAAGATTCATCCTGACTCCCTTCTTTCTCTCACAGTTATACTTACTCCGTCCATAAACGTTGTTGATTCTACTATCAAAATATATGCTGAATACAATCACTCCTCACTGCCTCCATTGCTCCCGTCCTAATCCAACCCCCTTTCATCTTTCATCCATTTACTGTAGTGGGCTCCTGTGGTACAGAGCACAGCTAGAGAGTACAGTCCCCAGGATTTCTCACTGTTAGGTGTAACCATGTGACTAAGTTCTCAGCAACAGAATGTGAACAGAAGCAGTAAGTGCCACTTCTGGCCCAAGGTCTTCAAGAGAACATGTGCCTCTTCTCTGTGCACTTTCCCCTTCCTCTGCCTGAAATCTGAACGTGGTAACTCAGTCTTGACTGTGCACATGACTAGGTTCGAGGGCAGAGTGAAGTCGTACAAATGGCAGGAGCCTGGATCCCTGAGTGGATGCATGGAAGAGAGCCTCCCACGGAGTTGGAACACCCTTCTTGCACTGTAATGCAAGTAAATAACATTTTTTGGTTATTTGTTTAGCCTACCCTAATTAATATACCTCCAAATTGGCCTTGGCTCTCTCTCTTACCTCTAAAAGTCACTGATCTTCTTAAAGCCTGACTCTGGTCACATTGTAGCTGTAGCTAGAAGTTTCCGAGCCTTCCATCACACTCACAATGGCCCACATGGCCCTATACAGCACTGTCCCCCACTTTCCTCACTGGACTCTTCTCACCTCTCTTCCCTGGCTCACCGCTCTCCAGTCACTACTGGGCCTCTGCCATTCTTGATGAGTTGCCAGTCCAATCACCACCTGGACCTTTTTACATGCCAGTTCCTCTACCTGGAACTCTTCTTCTACCTCTCTGCATGGCTCACTGCTTCATGCAATTCAGTTCCCCATTAACATATCATCTTCCCAGTGAGATCTTTTCTAATAAATCTATCTGAAACAGTGCATCTTCCTCCCCACCCTGGTCTCTCTTTATCCCATTACTCCACTTTATTGTTCTTCATTATACTTATCACTTATTGACATCACAGTGTGTATTTGCTTGTTTATCAGATGTCTTCCCCTACTAGAATGTAAGCTCTACAACAGTAAAAACCTTCTATGTCTATTCAGCATGTTCCCCCAGCACTTAGGACAGTGTCTGGAATGTACAAGGTGTTCCATAAATGTGGGTAAATGAATAAATCATTCTACACCTTGAGAAGACTTCATCCTCTCAACATCTATTTGCATTCATCATGTGCCTCCAAGTATTATGCTTATCTTTTTATACATCTACACCTTCAGGGACAAGGACCCTCTTTTATACTCTAAATGCCAACTCTAGGCATTTAGAAGTTTGTATATAGGAAGCGCTAAGTAAAAGTCTCCTTAATAATTACGGATTAAAATAAAGTCTGCAAGATTGATCTGAATGGATGGCTCTAGTACTTTTCAAAAAAAAAAATTCTGTTATGATTGCCATTAATTAAATCATATAGTTTTAACAATTTAATTAAATTGGTTGTTAGGTTTGTACTTATCACTTATTGACATCACAGTGTGTATTTGCTTATTTATCATATGTCTTCCCCTACCAGAATGTAAGCTCTATAACAGCAAAAACCTTCTATGTCTATTCAGCATGTTAAATTGTGAAGTTTTAACAATTTAATTAATGGCAATCATAACAGAATTATTTTAAAAATTGTTTAATTTTAACAATTTAATTAATGGCAAACATAGGCTTAGTAAAATACAGTTGCCCCCTTGGTTATTAAGAAGGAACACTAGACTGGGCACAGTGGCTCACACCCATAATCCC